GTGCGAATTAAAACTGAGGGTCGACCTCTGCTTGAGATCAGTTTCATGAAGAAGGATGAAATTGGTATCAAAAGTATAGCTGGTTAACAGGGAGCCTTTCATCAAGCCACCTGTATTGCTGGCATTGCCTGCTTTTTGGAAAGTCAGCCTTGGGCGAAAGAGGGGTACAGTGACATGAAGAACATCGATCGTTCAGCTAAACGCCAAAAAAAAAGCAGGGAGCATATACAGTTGAAGTCGGAAGTTTACATACATTTAGGTTGGAGTCATTAAAACTAGTTTTTCAACCACTCCACAAATGTCTTGTTAACAAACTATAGTTTTGGCAAGTCGGTTAGGACATCTACTTTGTGCATGACACAAATAATTTTTCCAACAATTGTTTACAGACAGATTATTTCACTTATAATTCACTGTATCACAATTCCAGTGGGTCAGAAGTTTGCATAAACTAAATTGACTGTGCCTTTAAACAGCTTGGAAAACGTCAGAAAATGATGTCATGGCTTTGGAAGCTTCTGATAGGCTAATTGACATCATTTGAGTCAATTGGAGGTGTACCCTGTGGATGTATTTCAAGGCCTACCTTCAAACTCAGTGCCTCACTGCTTGACATCATGGGAAAATGAAAAGAAATCAGCCAAGACCTCAGAAATAAAATTGTAGACCTCCACAAGTCTGGTTCATCCTTTGGAGCAATTTCCAAACGCCTGAAGGTACCACGTTTATCTGTACAAACAATAGTACGCAAGTATAAACACCATGGGACCACGCAGCCATCATACCGCTCAGGAAGGAGACGCGTTCTGTCTCCTAGAGATGAACGTACTTTGGTGGGAAAAGTGCAAATCAATCCCAGAACAACAGCAAAGGACCTTGTGCAGATGCTGGAGGAAACAGGTACAAATGTATCTATATCCACAGTAAAACGAGTTATATATCAACATAACCTGAAAAGCCGCTCAGCAAGGAAGAAGCCACTGCTCCAAAACCGCCATAAAAAAGCCAGACTACGGTTTGCAACTGCACATGGGGACAAAGATCGTACTTTTTAGAGAAATGTCCTCTGGTCTGATGAAACAAAAATAGAACTGTTAGGCCATAATGACCATCGTTATGTTTGGAGGAAAAAGGGGAACGCTTGCAAGCCGAAGAACACCATCCCTACCGTGAAGCACAGGGGTGGCAGCATCATGCTGTGGGGGTGCTTTGCTGCAGGAGGGACTGGTGCACTTCACAAAATAGATGGCATCATGAGGAAGGAAAATTATGTGGATATATTGAAGCAACATCTCAAGACATCAGTCAGGAAGTTAAGCTTGGTCGCAAATGGGTCTTCCAAATGGACAATGACCCCAAGCATACTTCCAAAGTTGTGGCAAAATGGCTTAAGGACAACAAAGTCAAGGTTTTGGAGTGGCCATCACAAAGCCCTGACCTCAATGCTATAGAACATTTGTGGGCAGAACTGAAAAAGCGTGTGCGATCAAGGAGGCCTACAAACCTGACTCAGTTACACCAGCTCTGTCAGGAGGAATGGGCCAAAATTCACCCAAATTATTGTGTGAAGCTTGTGGAAGGCTACCCAAAACGTTTTACCCAAGTTAAACAATTTAAAGGCAATGCTACCAAATACTAATTGCGTGTATGTATACTTTTTACCCACTGGGAATGTGATGAAATAAATAAAAGCTGAAATAAATCATTCTCTCTACTAGTATTCTGATATTTCACATTCTTAAAATAAAGTGGTGATCCTAACTTCCCTAAAACAGGGAATTTTTACTAGGATTAAATGTCAGGAATTGTGAAAAACTGAGTTTAAATGCATTTGGCTAAGGTGTATGTAAACTTCCGACTTCAACTGTACATGAGATTCACATCAGATTCAAGCTTTTGGGAAAAAGCCGCATCGATCATGACGAAGGTCTGCGTATTCAAACTGCGCAACACAACAAGAAAGTAAGAAGAAACAGGGATGTTCTCAAGCGGTTTATCAACACCACTGCATATTTGTGCATGCAAGAACAGGCTTTTAGAGGACACTACGAGAGGAAAGTTCCGCTAACAAGTGCAACTACAAGGCGCTTGCAGCGGTAATTGCACGTTACGATGCTTTACTTGCTGAACATATGGAACTTTCTACTGTCTTCTGTCTTTTTCTGGGATGTCGAAATCAATTCAATAGCTTCCATCGCATCATCCATTAAAAGTTAGATTAAAGAGAGAGGTTGACGCAGCGCATTTTTCGCGCGCGCTCAAGTAGGCTTTCCACTTTCCTCCTGTATTTATTTAGCAAAAATGATAACAGTTAATGTTTTACTGACTTAATTTTGCTGGACCCCAGGAAGAGTAGCTTTATTATGGGGATCCATAATAAATACAAATACAAAAAACACAATCACTCCGGACAGACACAAGCAAAAACCCATTACATAAATGTTGCAGCAGCCTAGGCTACACCTAAACAGAGATCTGACATGCTGTATGGGATGAAAACGAGACAATTTTCCAGTCAGATCAACTGTAGGCTACTAATAAGAGCAGCTGCATACAACCTATGTGCGCTGTCCATTTGGTCAGGGTAACTAATTGGTAACGTTATGTATTTATAGTCCATGTGTGTCAGGAGAAAATGTGAATGTGATCACATTTGGTTTATATTCAAAATTGGGCTGGCTAGGCTGCCTATACGTTTTCAATCCAAAATTATTAACTGGAATTAATCAATCAACATAATAGTGATGACAGATGTGAGTTAATTTTGTATAAGCCTACAGTTGCATAGGCCTGCATGATGCAAACATGCATAAAGCAAACTCAGCCCTGCGAGTTCCATTGTCTATCAGTTGTCTCCCCCTCCTAATCTAGTCTAAATATAATTCAAATGAAAAAGTATAAGGTTGCTGCAGTTTGACCCCCCCCCAGATAAGGAAAAACTCAGGGCCCCAGGGGGTAAAAATTGCCCCCCGCTCTGGGACCTATGGTGCCACCAGTCTGCTTGCAGTTGTCAGTTATTGTCAGGTATGTGGGCTTTATTCAGGAACATTTCTTGGGCTACTATGATGTGTCAAGTGGGTGAGATGCGCAGTCTGTGTTTAACTTCATGGAGAAACTTGTTGTTCAAGCCTACGATGGCGCAGCTGTAATGGAAGTATATGCTATTTGTATTTACAGCCAAGTCCCCTCCAGTTCCCTGATTAAGAGGTGATGACCACTCCACTCCACTACCATTGTCAACTCTCTCCTGACATGAACTGAAGCCACGTCTCATGTGCCCACTCATCCACTGGCACATTGAATGTTTTCTCTCCAAGCACTGCAAGTACCCCTATCAATTTTCTCTCATTACTGTATGTAGAGTCAATCATATACACAAACAAAATCACATTATTACACATCAATGATTTTACTCCTTGCTTGGACTAACTCATTCTTAGCTCTTTTGTCTGTGTAGTGTGTTGTGTTATTTGTCTTCCCAGTCAAATCCTGTCCTGCACAGAAGTCAAGCCTCTGAACACCTCAGCTCATGCCTCATACCCTCATTCAATCACTGCTGTGATCCCTTCCTAACACTGTGTAAGTAGCCCTCTCATTCCCATTCCCCATAATATTGTATTAGAAATGTCTTTATTAAATGCTTTAGGTTAAAATAATTACTCAAGCGATTTTTGAAACACACTTTGACGTCTCTGTGCGGAATGCCTATACCATGGGTCTCCCATCCTCCTCAATTTTTCAAGTCACCAGCCTCCACTGATTTGACAACCCAGTGATAATTACAGCATAGGACTAAGGCCTCAATGTGATAGGACAACCTGCATTGGTTGTTCCAGCCCAACAATAGATTTAATCTTTATATGACACTAAAACACCTGAATGAATTAAACACAACCAAAAAATTAAGAACCTTGATGGTATAGGTGACCTGAAGAAGTGATATTCTAACATCAGATGTGCTTTTCATTTATGTACTACTGTAGGTTCACCAGCTGACCTATTAAGACACCCACGTCAACTGGATTCCCACTGTGAAGATGATCAATGCTGCAGCAGCAGCATCAGTTTCTACTTCTACTACTTTGTCCTTTTCCAAATATGAAAGGAGACATCCCTCAATTATACGATATGGTTGTAGTATGCTGTGGTCAATCTAAATGATTATGTTGTGCCGTTTGAGTAGAGCACCTTCACCTTGTCGTCATGACAAAAGTGCCCTCTTAAACCGTATGAATATATAAAATGTAATTCGGAACGTGTAAAATACTATTGTTTATGATATTGTAAACCATACTGTACGTTAATAGGCTATATTGTTGTATAGGTGAAATTAAGTATTTTGCTTTGCCTAGCCCCATTGAATAAAACATTTCTTATAGTCCAACTATTGTCTTTCTTTACAATTTAAACACATTTAGCGAGCCAGGCCTAATCGCTCGACATCACTAATGCTCTTGTGGCTGAATGGAAGTCCCCGCAGAAATGTTCCAACATCTAGTGGAAAGCCTTCCCAGAAGAGTGGAGGCTGTTATAGCAGTCTCCACTCTTAATGCCCATGATTTTGGAATGAGATGTTCAACAAGCAGGTATCCACATACTTTTGGCCATGTAGTGTATAAACATTTGACTTGAAGTAAAATGATTTATTCATCAATGCCACAAACCTGGGACATCGAAGAGCACCATATGAACTACTATCTGAGCGCGCACAGATTCTTCTGCTTTTCCATTTGAGGAATTAGACCAGAACAAATAATTTAAAAAGGCATATTGTGATTTTTGATGGGTGAGTTACAAATGGAGAAACAACTGGATGTGCAAGGTAGGTTTGATATAAAATACTAGGTCAACTCCAGCAGAATGAGAAACACAAAAATCTATTTAGAAATGCCACATATTGAAATCTTAACTTTATCTCAAAAGCATGATAAATGTCTTCCACAGACCATAAATATAAAACTGGACAGTGAGTAAGGGAAACAACAATGTACACAGATGCTGCAGGAGTGACTAGTCAGGCATACCAACAAGATCTGGCAGCAGCCCTATGCTTTAGCCAGTCTGTTTCTGAAGTCAAGGCAACATTGTTGCCTAGCTAGCCAAACAAGACAGCCACAAAGCAGAAAGACTGACACACTGTGTTGCTGTTTGAGACACATAAGTTACTACCTCAGCACCATCAATACAAATATATTTGCATGTTTCTGCTGAGTGACAGCACTGTAAATAAATAATGATGTCTTACTCTTGGCATTGTCAGAGACTGTAGAAATCTCTGGCAATCAAAGAACACATCATGCATATGATGAGTGTTTGCAAGTCTATTTGAAGCTCTAAATGATTTGTCAATCTAAAGCATATTTCGTTCTCAATGCATGATTGCATTTACTAGTGATTTCAAAAACATTGATAGAGTTCACTTCAATATCTATTACCTGGTATAAAAAGTCAGTGGGACTGGGAGAAACCTCATGGTTTTGTCCTATTTTTCCCTCCTGGGAAAACAGACACCAAAATATATAGAATCCCTAAAACACACAGAAACACATACACCATTTTCAGCCTTTGAAGTTAAATCATGTGAGGATAAAAAGTGTATTTTTAACCCCTCCTTTCACTCGCTGCGCTCTTTGGGCTCTTTGTATTTCCACTGGATGTAGTCAAAGATGTCCTTCTCACTGTCCACCATCAGAGGCTCTCCGGCCATACCTACAACCACAGAGAAACAGACATGAACTAACCTTGCAGTTTAAGTCACTTTACACAGTTGGCTAACCCACCAGTTAATGACAGAGATAGATACATTTATGAATTTCAGTAAATAAGATACAGGTGCCTAATCCAAAATCAATCTCTAGACACTTGGATCTGAAGGATTCGCTGTGTGTAAGCAATATGAGTTTCCTCAGCTTACACCAATCCATCCGGTCCTTTCAGAACCAAACAGAATGTCTTTAGCAGTTGCGGCAAGGGGTTGATTTTGGACTGCTGCTATTTCAGTGTGACTCACCAGTGACCCCCACTGGCCGGATGGTGTACTCGTTGAGAGTGAAGCCTTTCTCCAGAGCGTGAGTTCTCATGTTCTTATTGAAGATGTCACTGCCAGTGAAATACAGCACACCACAGTAATACTGGTCCTTAGGAATTAACCTGCAGTAAGATAAGGGACATTTTATTTCTGTTATAGCGACACAATCATTAAGTTTGACGACGACACAATGGTGGTAGGCCTGACCACCGACGACGATGAGACAGCCTATAGGGAGGATGTCAGAAACCTGGCAGTGTGGTGCCAGAACAACAACCTCTCCCTCAAAGTCAGCAAGACAAAGGAGCTGATTGTGGACTACAGGAAACGGAGGGCCGAGCACACCCCCATTCACATCGACAGGGCTGTAGTGGAGCGGGTCGAGAGCTTCAAGTTCCTCAGAGTCCACATCACTAAGGACCTATCATGGTCCACACACAACAACAGTTGTGAAGAGGGCACAACAACGCCTCTTCCCCCTCAGGAGGCTGAAAAGATTTGGCATGTGCCTTCAGATCCTCAAAAAGTTATACAGCTGCACCATTGAAAGCATCTTGACTGGCTGCATCATCGCTTGGTATGGCAACTGCTTGGCATCTGACCGCAAAGCGCTACAGAGGGTAGTGCGTACAACCCAGTACGTCACTGGGGCCGAGCTTCCTGCCATCTAGGACCTCTATATCAGGCGGTGTCAAGAGGACACTAGATACCCACCTGATATCAATGCGCCTGTGAAGATATTCCTCCCCGTCTTCATCATTTTGTTGCAGCTGGCAGACTCCCTAGAGACAGCAACCATCAAATCAATGACCAGGTCGTGGACCAGGTAAAATATAGGTTGAATTGATAAACATTCTGACTAATGTGACTAGAGAGAGTAACTATCACATAAATAAGCAGTGAGCCATGTGCTTGAACGCTTGCTTCCAATTTAGTTAAGTGAAAGCAGTACAGACACTTGCTGTACAAATTACATTACAAATGAAGACATAAAACATCTTAGTTACTTTCACTGTTAAAGAAACAGATAAAGCAATATTCCCTGCAGCTAGCTAGCCACACGCAGTCCTCACCATGAATTTGGTGTCTCCTTTGGACAGTGTGTCTGTAATGAACCCAATGGACTCAAAATGTTCCACCACGGCATGGAGAAGTTTGGGCTTGAAGAGGAAGAACAAAGGAAGGATGGGATGAGCATATGAAAGTCATAAAAGGTCGTCTTCTGTTGAATGCAATGCCCTTGGGCTGTCATGAATGCATGCACTAAACCAAAGCATGAAGATATACATAGCAAATATCAAGAATGTATTCAAATATGGACTGGTGAACTGTAAAGCACTTAAATGGAGATTGCACTTATCCAATGTGCACTTATAAAGGAGTCAACTGTACCTTAGTGTGTGTATATTAATCATTACAGTACCAAAGCAGCAGTAGGCATTGTGGAGTTTGGTGGTTACCTGTTTCTCATCCACAGAGGTGTAGTTTGGGTGGGTCAACAAGATATCAATATCCCCACTGGATTCAGCACCTGCAGAAGAGAATGCAGGAACAGATAAATAATGAGAAAATGACCAAAAAAATAAATCTAGTTTATTTTTCTTCCCAGTGCAATCACTTCCTTGATCATAGATGAAACATGCACATCTAAACAGTACACACAGTTATTACTAATACTAAAAACCTCCAAGTACACCACTACATGTCAGGACTCACCTCTCCTGTAGCTTCCACAGATGGTCCCGATGTACTCAGTATCCAGCAACTCCAGCTCCTGCAGAATGAAGGTCTGGACAAACACACACAAAGTGTAAGACAGTAGTAAGAGTAAATAAACGCCATTCTAACCACTTTTAAAAAGTGGCATAAAATGTTTTCACAACAGTAATTTCACCCACCTCCATCTTCGTCATCTCAGCTCGTGGAATCCTCTTCTCAAACTCCTCAAAGTACCTACAGCAGACACAGAGCAGCGTCACACACATGCCATCAAGCATGAACAGGAAACTTAAATTGGAATGTATGAGACACCAACCAATGATGCTCATACAACATTAGCAAAACACTTACATTGGTGCAGGCAGATTGAACCACTGACAGGAAATTCACACTTACTTGAGTCCAATCTGCTGATGATGATTGAGCTTGTGTTCAATTTTCTTCAGATCTAAAAGCACAACATTGTTAATATACAGTGAGCACCAAAAGTATTGGGACAGTGACACATTCCTTGTTTTGTATGTGTACTCCATTACTTTGGATTTGAAATGATACAATGACTGAGGTTAAAGTGCAGACTGTCAGCTTTAATTTGAGGTGAACCGATATGGAATAGAATATATTTCTAAACACTTCTACATTAATGTGGATGCTACCATGATTACTGATAATCCTGAATGAATCGTTGAAAAAGAGGCATAAATATAATTCCCCCCAAAATTGATAACCTCCCCGTGGTGAGAGGTTAGCATGTCTTGGGAGTATGATATTTGTGCATCTGTAACCCGATATGGATGAAAATTAAAATTAAAGCTAACAGTCAGCACTTTAACCTCATAGTCATTGTATAATTTCAAATCCATTACAGAGAAAAACAACAAAAAATGTGTCACTGTCCCAACACTTTTGGAGCGCACTCTAGTCTAATAATAATAATTGAAGTTACTTTTGAAATTGTATGGCATTCCCATACAGTGGGGGGAAAAAGTATTTAGTCAGCCACCAATTGTGCAAGTTCTCCCACTTAAAAAGATGAGAGAGGCCTGTAATTTTCATCATAGGTACACGTCAACTATGACAGACAAAATGAGAAAACAATTCCAGAAAATCACATTGTAGGATTTTTAATGAATTTATTTGCAAATTATGGTGGAAAATAAGTATTTGGTCAATAACAAAAGTTTCTCAATACTTTGTTATATACCCTTTGTTGGCAATGACACAGGTCAAACGTTTTCTGTAAGTCTTCACAAGGTTTTCACACACTGTTGCTGGTATTTTGGCCCATTCCTCCATGCAGATCTCCTCTAGAGCAGTGATGTTTTGGGGCTGTCGCTGGGCAACACGGACTTTCAACTCCCTCCAAAGATTTTCTATGGGGTTGAGATCTGGACACTGGCTAGGCCACTCCAGGACCTTGAAATGCTTCTTACGAAGCCACTCCTTCGTTGCCCGGGCAGTGTGTTTGGGATCATTGTCATGCTGAAAGACCCAGCCACGTTTCATCTTCAATGCCCTTGCTGATGGAAGGAGGTTTTCACTCAAAATCTCACGATACATGGCCCCATTCATTCTTTCCTTTACACGGATCAGTCGTCCTGGTCCCTTTGCAGAAAAACAGCCCCAAAGCATGATGTTTCCACCCCCATGCTTCACAGTAGGTATGGTGTTCTTTGGATGCAACTCAGCATTCTTTGTCCTCCAAACACGACGAGTTGGGTTTTTACCAAAAAGTTATATTTTGGTTTCATCTGACCATATGACATTCTCCCAATCCTCTTCTGGATCATCCAAATGCACTCTAGCAAACTTCAGACGGGCCTGGACATGTACTGGCTTAAGCAGGGGGACACGTCTGGCACTGCAGGATTTGAGTCCCTGGCGGCGTAGAGTGTTACTGATGGTAGGCTTTGTTACTTTGGTCCCAGCTCTCTGCAGGTCATTCACTAGGTCCCCCCGTGTGGTTCTGGGATTTTTGCTCACCGTTCTTGTGATCATTTTGACCCCACGGGGTGAGATCTTGCGTGGAGCCCCAGATCGAGGGAGATTATCAATGGTCTTGTATGTCTTCCATTTCCTAATAATTGCTCCCACAGTTGATTTCTTCAAACCAAGCTGCTTACCTATTGCAGATTCAGTCTTCCCAGCCTGGTACAGGTCTACAATTTTGTTTCTGGTGTCCTTTGACAGCTCTTTGGTCTTGGCCATAGTAGAGTTTGGAGTGTGACTGTTTGAGGTTGTGGACAGGTGTCTTTTATACTGATAACAAGTTCAAACAGGTGCCATTAATACAGGTAACGAGTGGAGGACAAAGGAGCCTCTTAAAGAAGAAGTTACAGGTCTGTGAGAGCCAGAAATCTTGCTTGTTTGTAGGTGACCAAATACTTATTTTCCACCATAATTTGCAAATAAATTCATTAAAAATCCTACAATGTGATTTTCTGGATTTTTTTTCTCTCAATTTGTCCATCATAGTTGATGTGTACCTATGATGAAAATTACAGGCCTCTCATCTTTTTAAGTGGGAGAACTTGCACAATTGGTGGCTGACTAAATACTTTTTTCCCCCACTGTATATACTCAACCCCTTCACCATATGCACTGCAGGCTATTCTGGTATATTCTTCTTAATGTAAAAAATAGCTTTAAAAGTTCGACAAACCTTCCAGGGTCTTCACTCCCTCATCAAAAAACTTTCTGGCAGCAGCCGGACTGGAGAAGGAGGGAGAAGAGTTAACAACTGGTTATGTGTGTTCGATAAAGGCTGGAACAAAATCCTGTGGAACGGTAGTTCTCTGCGAGAAGAGTTTGCCACCCCAGGGCTAGAAAAAGGGGTCAGGGATTGGGTTTAACAAACAAAGCAGAAGACATACCCAATACCAGTAACTCTGGTAAGGAAGTTGATGGATGAGCTGGTGTCATCATTACGAATCTGGGAAGATAAACACAATCCATTAGCCTGCATCAAACTGAGTGGAAATAACAATTTAATTATCATATTTTGTTTGTGCATTTTGCATTGTGGTTACAGTGGACAAAGAAGTGACAGACTGCACCTTTAACACAGAGTTCACTGTCTATGCATGAAGGATAATATGTAATTCCTCAAACACTCACCTTTTCCAACTTCTTGAGTGTTCCTGTTTGTAAAAACTCATCTATCTTCTTAGCGATCTCTTTTCCAACTCCCTCCTATTTAAAATAGATTAACACAATATAATGTATAATGTAAGTATAATGATGTATTGTTATACTACTTTACAGGTGAGCATTGGCTGGCATCAGATTAATCCTTGATCATGACATAAAAGTAATTGGACGAAGGTGTCTTCTGTACAGGAGTTTTGTTAAGAGCCCCAACGCTCGGTCTGAACATTAACACGCGCCGCTTGCTGTACAGTTTTGGAAGCATAAGGACCTTATCTTTCATAAAGGCATGAAATGTTTAAAAAAATAACTAAAGGTTAAATTGATACACACCTTTATTGGGTAAGTGTTCCCACAACACCCTATTTCCATATTACAGCGCGTGTTTACGGAAGACAGACGGAAGACAGAGGGACCACCTGTGCTAATTAGCTATCTAGCGTACTCCGAACACCTGTGCGTAACAGAAGAAAGCCTCCAGAAACGTGTGGTCACTGAAAAATACGGTTGGCTGCCGGTTAAAAAAAGTGTACAGTAAGTGTATATTTTGCATTTGTGAAATTATTTTGATGTGATATGAAAGTAGAGGGCTTTATGTTTATATAACTATATCGGTTTTGAGAATCGATTCACGTTTAGATGGAGTACTTGGCTGTTTTGGCTGCCAGAGCCAGTCTACCTCTGAAAATAACATACAAGGAAGGTCCTTGGACCTTAAGGAGTAACGGTAGTAACTTTTACAGATGCACAATTGAGAGCATACTGTCGGGCTGTATCACTGCCTGGTACGGCAACTCCACCACCCACAACCGCAGGGCTCTCCAGAGAGGGGTGTGGTCTGCCGAACGCATTACCGGGGGCAAACTACCCGCCCTCCAGGATACCTACAGCACCCGATGTCACAGGAAGGCCAAAAAGATCATCAAGGACACCCGAGCCACTGCCTGTTCACCCCGCTATCATCCAGAAGGCGAGGTTAGGACAGGTGCATCAAAGCTGGGACCGAGATAATTGAAAAACAGCTTCTATCTCAAGGCCATCAGACTGTTAAATAGCCATCACTTGCACATTAGAGGCTGCTGCTTCCTATAGAAATCACTGGCCACTTTAAGAAATGGAACACTAGTCACTTTAATAATGTTTACATATCTTGCATTACTCATCTCATATGTATATACTGTATTCTATAATATTCTACTGTATCTTAGTCCATGCCGCTCTGTCATTGCTCGTCCATACATGTATATATTCTTAATTCCATTCCTTACTTAGATTTGTGTGTATTGGGTATATGTTGTGAAATTGTTAGATATTACTGCACTGTCGGAGCTAGAAGCACAAGCATTTTGCTACACCCATCAATAACATCTGCTAAACACGTGTATGTGACAAATAACATTTGATTTGATTACATCTTGGGCTAACATCAGATGAGCTTCCAAGTCAATCAACTACTGCTATAACAGCACTGTACTGTCTGAGACACCTATGCCCTCACCAGTTTCTTGGCCTCCTCCCCATTTTTGATCTTCTGGGGGTACTTGGAGATCACTGAAGCGGCTTTCCTGAAAAACAGTTGCACAACACAGATAAAGTTCTTCACTGTAAACGTGGGGCTGAAGGAGCCAGACAAATGACTTATTCAGATGCCTGTTGTGAAGGGACACTAGCATCCTTCACTACACTACTACCATGTCTTACCTGTAGACGTTGTACTTGTGGATAGCTCTGTTGACATTCCTCTCATAGTTGGCCAATTCTGGAAGAGTAAGAAACAAATATAGAATCATACTGACTCAGACTTCGCATATTGAAGAAACATAAACTAACAGAGAATATTGGAGGGATTAACAGGCTATTAACCATGGTCCATGAGCATCACAGATGCTGACGTTTTACCTCACCATAACAGGCTGTGCAAAAGGGGATTAAATGTGACGAGTTTGACACAGCTATTAGCTAACTCAACGTTACGAGGACTACACAACACTAGGGGTTAGCGTTTTAAAGATTGAAATAAATTTGCATTCGTGTTTTATATACTAGTTAGTAACAAGCTATTCATATTATGTCCATCTGCTTGACCCATTGTTTGCGATATTTGGTTGCAAATTAAGCTAGCTAGCTAACCTATTCATATGTGCTAGCCAGGTGTCGTTAGCTGGTAGCTAGCACGCCGCTTGATTTACCTGTAAGAAAGTCTGTTATTCCCTCGTTTGGGGATTCCTGTGGCGCTTTCCTTTTACTCATCTCTGTATTCTAGCTTTTTTCTAAAGTATATTGTATTCTTATTTTACTTTCTTGCAAGAGGTAATGTAGCTAGCTAAAACAGCCTCTGCAGCCTGCTAGCTATTAATATTAGCAGGAGAGTAGACGAACAATGAACTCCACTACGAGGGGGCAGGGCCTGAGTTACACATCACAGAAATCGCAAGAGATAAATAGCCATTTTTGGTTGAAAGTAGACCAGTGAGCGGTAGTGTTATGCGAATATGGTACACACGTAGAAAATGACTTACAAATTAAGGTCAGACACAATTGGTTGCGCGATAGAAGAGTCTCTGGTCCTCACATTCATATGACGAGGCACTATAAAAACACCCTCAAAGTTTAATGAAACACAAAATGACAAAAACAAGACAATCAACCCAGTTTGGACATCACATTTCAGCCAGTTCCAAGTTTATATGATTCTGAGTCAGCTAAAATGGGCATTACACACACACCACTACAGTGAAGTACATTCTCTGCCAACAGAAGTGCTTGGTTTACAGTAGGGCTGCCTAATTGCCCTCCTAAGAAAAGTATCTGACTGAAGTTTTCTCCCTGCCTGTCTGTATCATCGATGCTCCCTCTGCTCAAGCTACTGCTACTGACTGCCTTTCCCAAATGCCTCTACATCTGAAGCTGTGAAAGACCATCAACCATGAACTGTCAGATCCCTACATTTGTTTTTATTTTCAAAGCAACTTTGAGATTCTTGTTTGTAATGTAAAGCGCTATATACAATAAATGTTATTATAATACATTCAGTAGTAGGCCATTGGAAGTCAAGCGCTAGTGAATGCATCCTGCTTAGTGTCACAGGATAAATAAATCACTTCATTTTACAATCTCCCTCTTTATAGATTACATTAATAATAGCTCTAGAGTCTAGGCTATTTCCCAGCAGCCTCTTAGACTGCAGGATCACTTTCAGTAGGCACGTAAAGGAGAGAACAAAAAATAAAAATAGCCTTCATAGGACAAGTTCAAATAGTGTCTCCCAGGCTTTCAGAATGTTTTCTCCCACGATCTTGCCTAGTGAATAAGATCCAGGCAGGCCTCCTCTTGTGTTAGGAGTCTGTCTTGACGTAGACTTTGTCCCTGGAGAAGATCTTGATGGCCTCCTCCACCTCAGAGAGCCTGCGGTCCAGCTGAGCACGACGGGAACGGACACCCAGAGAGTCGGCTCTGACTGGAAGAGACAGCAGCTCACTCACCAGAGACCGATGGGCTGGAAGAAGAGAGAGAGACAAAAGAGAAAAGAGCATCCATCTTGATCTGAAGGTTCAACAGAAATACACACCATCTTTTCAATAGTAAATACCATTATTTGAGCTGATGTATACATACTAAGCAACTTGAAAAAGACTAGGCATAAGACAAATAATGTAAAAGTGTTTGTGGTAAAATCCCTACTCTCTTTGAGTGACTCCAGGGTCTCCTGTCTCTCCCTCTCTGGCATCAGGGTGTGACCAGCTGGGATGGATGGATCAGGAATGTTCCTCCTCTTCTCCTCCTCCTCCCTTCGCCACTGCTCCTTCCGCTCCTCAAGGCTGATAGACAGAGGGAGAGGGAGAGAGAGAGAGAATGATTCATAGTGTCAGAAAAAAGTATGCTTTGTAACTATGAGGCAGAATTATTGGATCTGGAGTGAATATTTGCTACTTCCAGTGACTTCCACTTTTGAATGCAAGATAGACTTGTTGTTATGTGCAGTTAGAGGAGGATAATGTATATTGGTTCAGTGTACTTACTACTGAGGCACCTGTCCCTTGACGGCGCTGGGCAGGGGCTGACTGTTCCTCAGGTTGGTCAATGACTGGGAGCGACGGAGGACTGTCTTCCCTGCAGCCTGCGCGTTGTGGCTCACAAAGTCCACCATCCTGCCCTGCACCTGCAACTGAATATACTAATTCATTAAGTATGCATTTGGGCTCAGAGGATAGCACATCATGAAAGAATCATACCACATTTATTTTTAATATTGTTCCTTGGCAGAAACAGACAGAGTACAGAAGAGATATTCTGCTCAGCCACATTTGGAGGTAATTGGACGTTGAATAAAAAGGTGTCTCTTTGTTATTAAAAACCTTCAGCTGTGGAGGTTCCAACCATAGAGGGCAAGGTTTGGGGGTAGATGTGCAAATACACAGCTAAAATATACACTCATTGGATAAATATATGTTTACATTTCAGTGGAGTCCATCATTAATTCAGTCAGTTTGGGCTATTTTAAGGTACAGTGAGGGCAACATTTTTTTGACCCCCTGCTGATTTTGTACGTTTGACCACTGACAAATAAATTATCAGTCTATAATTTTAATGGTAGGTTTATTTGAACAGTGAGAGACAGAATAACAACAAAAAATGTTATAAATGGATTTGCATTTGAATGAGGGAAATAAGTATTTGACCCCTCTGCAAAACATGACTTAGTACTTGGTGGCAAAACCCTTGATGGAAATCCCAGAGGTCAGACGTTTCTTGTAGTTAGCCCACATCTCAGGAGGGATTTTGTCCCACTCCTCTTTGCAGATCTTCTCCAAGTCATTAAGGTTTCGAGGCTGACATTTGGCAACTCGAACCTTCAGCTCCCTCCACATATTTTCTATGGGATTAAGGTCTGGAGACTCTCTAGGCCACTCCAGGACCTTAATGTGCTTCTTCTTGAGCCACTCCTTTGTTGCCTTGGCCGTGTGTTTTGGGTCATTGTCATGCTGGAATACCCATCCACGACCCATTTTCAATGCCCTGGCTGAGGGAAGGAGGTTCTCACCCAAGATTTGACGGTACATGGCCCCATCCATCGTCCCTTTGATACAGTGAAGTTGTCCTGTCCCCTTAGCAGAAAAACACCCCCAAAGCATAATGTTTCCACCTCCATGTTTGACGGTGGGTATGGTGTTCTTGGGGTCATAGCCAGCATTCCTCCTCCTCCAAACACGGCGAGTTGAGTTGATGCCAAAGAGCTCGATTTTGGTCTCATCTGACCACAACACTTCTCCTCTGAATCATTCAGATGTTCATTGGCAAACTTCAGACGGGCATGTATTTGTGCTTTCTTGAGCAGGGGGACCTTGCAGGCGCTGCAGGATTTCAGTCCTTCACGGCGTAGTGTGTTACCAATTGTTTTATTGGTGACTATGGTCCCAGCTGCCTTGAGATCATTGACAAGATCCTCCCGTGTAGTTCTGGGCTGATTCCTCACCATTCTCATGATCATTGCAACTCCACGAGGTGAGATCTTGCATGGAGCCCCAGTGCGAGGGAGATTGACAGTTCTTTTGTGTTTCTTCCATTTGCGAATAATCGCACCAACTGTTGTCACCTTCTCACCAAGCTGCTTGGCGATGGTCTTGTAGCCCATTCCAGCCTTGTGTAGGTCTACAATCTTGTCCCTGACATCCTTGGAGAGCTCTTTGGTCTTGGCCATGGTGGAGAGTTTGGAATCTGATTGATTGATTGCTTCTGTGGATAGGTGTCTTTTATACAGGTAACAAGCTGAGATTATGAGCACTCCCTTTAAGAGTGTGCTCCTAATCTCAGCTCGTTACCTGTATAAAAGACACCTGGGAGCCAGAAATCTTTCTGATTGAGAGGGGGTCAAATACTTATTTCCCTCATTAAAATGCAAATCAATTTATAACATTTTTGACATGCGTTTTTCTGGATTTTTTTGTTGTTATTCTGTCTCTCAGTGTTCAAATAAACCTACCATTAAAATTATAGACTGATCATTTCTTTGTCAGTGGGCAAACGTACAAAATCAGCAGGGGATCAAATACTTTTTTCCCTCACTGTACCTATCTCACCTGTAAACTCTGGTTCCCTGTATGGTTTTGGGAGGCTGAGCGAGGTGAGGGGGACGGCGATGGGGCACGGCTTGGTCTTGTGGAGGGTGAGAGGGCACGCTTTGGTCTCGGGGGGCCAGCAGAGCCACAGATAGAATGTGCCTTCAAAAAGTTCTGACACTCCGGCTTCATAGGAGGGCTGGTCTCCTGCAGAAGGAAGAGAGAGAGGATGTAAAGAGATTGTGGGTTGTGCCATGGTCATCACTACAGCCACGTAGGATCGATCCCACATTATGACAAAAATAAAAATACCACGCTAATGGTGGTGCCCTGGTTTGTTATAAGAGGAAGGCCCAGCATCCCTGGAGTCTGGACATCCTTATAATTTGAACTAACTGGCACAGGTCTATGCTTGGTGTGGAAGCCCCCAGTGCACTAAACAAACGGCTGCCTATCTCCCAGTCCCCCTCACCTGTAGCTGGGCCATGACCCTGGAGGGGATGTCCTGGTATTTAGGGGAGCTCCACAGGGCTTTGACCGGGACGGGACGGGAGTGTTCCCTCTGTGCCTCCTGCTCTCTGCAGCGTCTCTGGATCTCCCTCAGCCGACGCACGTTCTCCTTTCCGTAGTCACGCACCAGCTGCTCTGTGGGACAGACAGAGAATACAGGGAATTAGAGAAAGGGAACACAGTCTTATATTGTGTCTGTTGAAACTTTTTTATTTATTTTCCTGTATATAAAAGACAGTCACCACCCTTGCATGCAATGTACTACAATGAGAAACTGTCCATGCACTCCAACCACAAATGTGGCTTTGAAATTGGCAAGGAAAGTGGCAGATGGCATTGACCTGTGGTTACCACGAAACAGTAGGCGTTGGACTTACTGTGCTTAGTGGGGTTGGGACTGAGGGAGACCCCCTCCAGTCTTAGCAAGGCCCCCATCACCCCTCTCTGGCCCTTCTCCAGAATGTGTGTGGCGTTAGGGCCGATGCGGGGGTGCCGGGTGGCACGGGAGCTGTAGCAGCCTGGGTACAACACAGGGTCTGGTGCCAGGGGACCAGAGAGAAGGGCTGGAGTCCCATGAGCGTTCCCCTCCAGACGACCCCTGGCTGGGATAAGATTCATCCACAGAAGAATGGGAGTGTAAGGAAGACACTGGGTGACGTGTTTTAACAACAATTATTGGGATTTTAAAAAGCTGTACATTTTAGCTATCTTACCAGAGGCAGGACGTTTGTAGTATTCGGGAAAAAGGGAGGGATCTGGGGGTATGGGCCCAGATATCATGGAGGGACCCTCGCACATCACTGAACACCTGTGGCTGTTGCGCGACCAACACAGATATTCACAATTGGGCTAGTTAGCTACTCGGATAGGTTTTTCACTGAATTCACATTTCAGAAAGTAACGTTATCATGTAAGCAACAAATGTAATGCCAGTTAGAAAATACAGTTACACGCCGACCATGACCTGCTGTTGTAAGTTTAGAGAAAAGGTGGTTGTTAGCTAACGTTAGCTAGCAAAATATATCGATGCATTCATTGACGACTGATAACTAACGGTATTGTTCCTAAAATACAGCTAACGTTCGCTAGCCTAAATTAACACATATTTATGCAAACACAATAGCTAGTATCGGTTTTACAGTTTTATGACAAATATTACTTTTATAAAATACTCCAGACTTCAAACCAACTGTAGCTAGCATTAGCAGACCAGTCAACACGCAGCAATCAGTGATGACGCAGTGACAACAGTGCTCAAAATAAATCCCTCACCATGGCAACAATGTAACCTACCGCAGATACGTGAGGCAGCTATAATACCAAATCCAGTACAATATAAAGATAGGCTAAAACTGCTTCTCCAATAGAAATCCCGATCACACTTGTAGGCGACGTTGGCTAGCTAAACTCATGCGCAGAAACACGTCATCGGGTCTAACGGGCTCTTGCATCGAACTGCGCATGTGCACGGCGTGAAATCAACGGTACTCCTTCGATATAAAGTTGTTTTTGACGAAAATTTAAAACGGTTCAGTTTGTCACTTTCACGAGGTTGGAGTAATAACACGTTCAGCTATTTAGGACATTGGCTCTAATCTAGGTTGTGCCTTTAGATTTCGAGAAAATTAAACAACTAAGGAATATGTTTTCACTTTTCTCATTGACTTCTCAAACCCCAAACCCCGGCCGGGTTTGTTCTGGCTTCGCAAGCGTTCCCGGAAGTCTCGCAATGTTGCGCCTCTGGGTTTAGAACCTCTGTGATAATACTGAGGACGACCACCTAACACAGAGCACCTGGATGTCTCGGACATAGAGATGCTATTAAATTAATAGAGGGACTATGTCATAATCCCTAAAGGTTCCAAATGGGACGAAAATGGGAGCCATTTTGGTCAGGGAAAAATCCCAAACCAGTCTAATTGGAATGAATGGCAGTAGAGGCATAGGTGATGCATTTCCTGAGTTTTCTTGTGCAGGAAAATAAAAGTAAGACGTGATATATCAGAAATGGTGTAATTGAATTATATAAACATAAACGATTGTCATACAATTATAAATACAGTTTATACAGGTTTTATAAAACAATTATGTATAATAGCCTCTAAAATATATGTAAACAGACCATAAACGCTTATAAGAAATCCCGCTATGACCTCCGACGAACCATCAAACAGGCAAAGAGTCAATACAGGACTAAGATTGAATCGTACTACACTGGCTCTGACGCTCGTCGGATGTGGCAGGGCTTGAAAACTATTACAGACTACAAAGGGAAGCACAGCCACGAGCTGCCCAGTGACACAAGCCTACCAGACGAGCTAAACCACTTCTATGCTCGCTTCGAGGCAAGCAACACTGAAGCATGCATGAGAGCACCAGCTGTTCCGGATGACTATGTGATCACGCTCTCCGTAGCTGATGAGAGTAAGACTTTTAAGCAGGTCAACATTCACAAGGCCGCAGGGCCAGACGGATTACCAGGACGTGTACTCCGAGCATGTGCTGACCAACTGGCAAGTGTCTTCACTGACATTTTCAACATGTCCCTGACTGAGTCTGTAATACCAACATGTTTCAAGCAGACCACCATAGTCCCTGTGCCCAAGGACTCTAAGATAACCTGCCTAAATGACTACCGACCCGTAGCACTGACGTCTGTAGCCATGAAGTGCTTTGAAAAGCTGGTCATGGCTCACATCAACAGCATTATCCCAGAAACCCTAGACCCACTCCAATTTGCATACCGCCCCAACAGATCCACAGATGATGCAATCTCTATTGCACTCCACACTGCCCTTTCACACCTGGACAAGAGGAACACCTACGTGAGAATGCTATTCATTGACTACAGCTCAGCATTCAACACCATAGTGCCCTCTAAGCTCATCACTAAGCTAAGGATCCTGGGACTAAACACCTCCCTCTGCAACTGGATCCTGGACTTCCTGACGGGCCGCCCCCAGGTGGTAAGGGTAGGTAACAACACATCTGCCACACTGATCCTCAACACGGGGGCCCCTCAGGGGTGCGTGCTCAGTCCCCTCCTGTACTCTCTGTTCACCCATGACTGCATGGCCAGGCACGACTCCAACACCATCATTAAGTTTGCCGACGACACAACAGTGGTAGGCCTGATCACCGACAACGATGAGACAGCCTATAGGGAGGAGGTCAGAGATCTGGCCGTGTGGTGCCAGGACAACAACCTCTCCCTCAACGTGACCAAGACAAAGGAGATGATTGTGGACTACAGGAAAAAAAAGAGGACTGAGCACGCCCCCATTCTCATCGACGGGGCTGTAGTGGAACAGGTTGAGAGCTTCAAGTTCCTTGGTGTCCACATCACCAACGAACTATCATGGTCCAAACACACCAAGACAGTCGTGAAGAGGGCACGACAAAGCCTATTCCCCCTCAGGAGACTGAAAAGATTTGGCATGGGTCCTCAGATCCTCAAAAAATTCTACAGCTGCACCATCGAGAGCATCCTGACTGGTTGCATCACCGCCTGGTATGGCAACTGCTTGGCCTCCGACCGCAAGGCACTACAGAGGGTAGTGCGTACGGCCCAGTACATCACTGGGGCAAAGCTTCCTGCCATCCAGGACCTCTATACCAGGCGGTGTCAGAGGAAGGCCCTCAAAATTGTCAAAGACTCCAGCCACCCTAGTCATAGACTGTTCTCTCTGCTATCGCACGGCAAGCGGTACCGGAGTGCCAAGTCTAGGTCCAAAAGACTTCTCAACAGCTTCTACCCCCAAGCCATAAGACTCCTGAACAGCTAATCATGGCTACCCGGACTATTTGCACTGCCCCCCCCACCCCATCCTTTTTACGCTGCTGCTACTCTGTTAATTATTTATGCATAGTCACTTTAACTCTACCCACATGTACATATGACCTCAACTACCTCAACTAGCCGGTGCCCCCGCACATTGACTCTGCAACGGTACCCCCCCTGTATATATAGCCTCCCTACTGTCACTTTATTTTACTTCTGCACTTTTTTTTCTCAACACTTTTTTTTTGTTGTTGTTTTATTTTAAAAATATTTTAAAATAAATGCACTGTTGGTTAAGGGCTGTAAGTAAGCATTTCACTGTAATGTCTGCACCTGTTGTATTCGGTGTATGTGACCAATAAAATTTGATTTGATTTGAAATGTCTCAGATGTTGTTTTCTTCGAAAGCTGTGAGTGCTATTCAAATCAAATCAAATCAAATTTTATTGGCCACATGCGCCGAATACAACAGGTGCAGACATTACAGTGAAATGCTTACTTACAGACCTTAACCAACAGTGCATTTATTTTTAATAAAACCAGTAAAATAAAACAACAACAAAAAAGTGTTGAGAAAAAAAGAGCAGAAGTAAAATAAAATAACAGTAGGGAGGCTATATATACTGGGGGGTACCGGTGCAGAGTCAATGTGCGGGGGCACCGGCTAGTTGAGGTAGTTGAAGTAATATGTACATGTGGGTAGAGTTAAAGTGACTATGCATAAATAATTAACAGAGTAGCAGCAGCGTAAAAAGATGGGGTGGGGGGTGGGTAGCCCAGAATAGTCTGGGTAGCCATGATTAGCTGTTCAGGAGTCTTATGGCTTGGGGGTAGAAGCTGTTGAGAAGTCTTTTGGACCTAGACTTGGCACTCCGGTACCGCTTGCCGTGTGGTAGCAGAGAGAAAAGTCTATGACTAGGGTGGCTGGAGTCTTTGACAATTTTGAGGGCCTTCCTCTGACACCGCCTGGTATAGAGGTCCTGGATGGCAGTGTAACCGGTGTGAAATGGCTAGCTAGTTAGCGGTGCGCGCTAGTAGCATTTCAATCGGTGACGTCACTCCCTCTGAGACATTGAAGTAGTTGTTCCCCTTGCTCTGCAAGGGCCGCGGCTTTTGTGGAGTGACGGGTAACGGTGCTTCGAGGGTGACTGTTGTCGATGTGTGCAGAGGGTCCCTGGTTCAAGCCCAGGTATGGGCGAGGAGAGGGACGGAAGCAAGACTGTTACATTGATGCTGTTGACCCGGATCACTGGTTGCTGCGGAAAAGGAGGAGGTCAAAAGGGGGGTGAGTGTAACCGGTGTGAAATGGCTAGCTAGTTAGCGGTGCGCGCTAGTAGCATTTCAATCGGTGACGTCACTCCCTCTGAGACATTGAAGTAGTTGTTTCCCTTGCTCTGCAAGGGCCGCGGCTTTTGTGGAGCGACGGGTAACGGTGCTTCGAGGGTGACTGTTTTCGATGTTTGCAGAGGGTCCCTGGTTCAAGCCCAGGTAGGGGCGGGGAGAGGGACGGAAGCAACACTGTTACAGCAGGAAGCTTGGCCCCAGTGATGTACTGGGCCGTACGCACTACCCTCTGTAGTGCCTTGCGGTCGGAGGCCAAGCAGTTGCCATACCAGGCGGTGATGCAACCAGTCAGGATGCTCTCGATGGTGCAGCTGTATAATTTTTTGAGGATCTGAGGACCCATGCCAAATCTTTTCAGTCTCCTGGGGGGGAATAGGCTTTGTCGTGCCCTCTTCACGACTGTCTTGGTGTGTTTGGACCATGATAGTTCGTTGGTGATGTGGACACCAAGGAACTTGAAGCTCTCAACCTGTTCCACTACAGCCCCGTCGATGAGAATGGGGGCGTGCTCAGTCCTCTTTTTTTTCCTGTAGTCCACAATCATCTCCTTTGTCTTAGTCACGTTGAGGGAGAGGTTGTTATCCTGGCACCACACGGCCAGGTCTCTGACCTCCTCCCTATAGGCTGTCTCATCGTTGTCGGTGATCAGGCCTACCACTGTTGTGTCGTCGGCAAACTTAATGATGGTGTTGGAGTCGTGCCTGGCCATCCAGTCATGGGTGAACAGGGAGTACAGGAGGGGACTTA